CCCTGCCCTGCTTCCTCCACATTGTACTACGGGTTGTATCCACGCCCCGGGTTGTATACCTGAGTGGATACCACACCCTCTTTGACTCGTTCCAGGTTCCACCTCGCATCTCGACCTACGACATACAACCTCCTAGGGAGGACACTGTACAACTGGTCCTACTGCTCGGAGAACACACGAGCTATTAAGTGTCTATTGGGTTTATCCTGGTTGGGGTTCTTGCTGGGTTGTCCGCTGTTTAGCCGACCCAGAGGCCGTTGCTGACAGAAGGTAGAATCTCTTCTGCCAGCCCCGACAAACCAATCGACGCTTGGAACGAGAAGATGGCTCCCATAAATATTATGGTTGCTGGAATCCTGACTGGACAGGGTGTTGGAGAGTGGGATGGAACCCTACTCTGGTGGGGAGGCTCGGCTGCAGGAATGGCTACACTGTGTGTTGCCCTGGTATGGGCAACCCAAGAAGAACAGGTTGCTCTTCCTTTGGGTGGCTACAGGCGGGTTCCAAGGTGCGGACTGCACTCCCCTTGGATGGGAAAACTCCGGTGTTTAACGGAACGTGTTGGAGCCTGGTTGGTGAAGATTACAAGACCTCCAACTGGGCGCAGTCGAGAGGAAGGAAGAAAGAGGACTCGTGCCACAGGAGGGCGAGACAGACCCAGGAGAGAAGCCACTCAGAGAATGGGACATCCAAATCTGAACCCGGGGGTATCAATTTACACCGACAGGGGGCGACTATACCCTATGGTAACCAACCTGGATAGCGGGGCCACTCCCTCCGTATACATGGATGACATCCTCATTATGGAGTTGGCACAACCACGCAGGAGCAGGAATCGTCCCACTCCCCCTCCCGGTACTCCAGGTCTCCCCAGCCGGATAGTTGATGATGAATCGGGGCCTACTCCACCCTATGAAGAAAGGCTGGGTTCCAACTCTAGAACCCGCACCACCAATACATGGGTAGAGGTGGTGCGGGGGTGACCCTAGGGTAGGAGAAACGACAGGAACCCATGGAACGGGACATACCCATACCCATACCCCTCAAATCTCATCTACTTGTTGAAATCTCTTGGTGAAAATCCTTAATGAAAATCTAATCTTGGCACACCAAAATGGACAACACTACACTTTTCACTGGATTTGGAAATAAAAACGAAAAAATACAAAAATATGTGTGGAGTTTTACAATGCACACCCTTTGCCCTTCCCCTTGTCCCCACAACACCTTCAACCCAGGAATCTGCCTGCCTGCCCAAATACCTCAGAAATTAACGGTAATGTGCTCCTCAGCTGCTCCTTATCCCCAGCGTCCTTGGCCGACTGCCGCACGATCTCCTCCACGAAGGAAGAGTGAGAAGCAGTCAGAATTTCTGCGACGGGCTGAAGACGAAACCCAAGAAACCGGGCATTGAGAGGGAGTGGGTCGTCCAACGTCGTACGAGAAAAAGACACTTGTTGTTCTGGAGGAACAACAGCAGGCGCAGTTCCAGACCGGAGTCATAATTGCGGTCATCAGCTGCGATGGACGACCCCAGAGACGGCATCTGAACATCTTCCTCCTCGAGGTCGTAGTTCTGGGGGTCATCGGCTAGCGTGGGGGCATCATCTTCGTCAGTCACCTCAACCATTTCGGGTCGATGAGGACACAAGGTTTTACGCCTTTTTGGGGTGGGGACTTCATCTTCAGAAGACTCTGCTTTGGAACCCGACAAGACTTTGACAGTTGGACTGCGGCTACGACCAAACAATGTGGTGGGGCACTGAGGTGCGTGGCACGTGAGACTCAGGATGAAGTAGGAGGAACTCTCAATATGTAGTTGAAAGTCCTAGGAGGAAGAAGAAGTCGTTAGTAGGGATTGACCCAGGAAAACGAAACAAATACATATGGGTCTGTGACAAATCCAACCACCAAGGATTGGGGTGCCTAGGAGTGTAAGAACCCTCCCCAAGATGTTCCCAGAGCCATATCTGGAACCCGCGCAAAACCTCGTCATCGCCGCTCTTGTACGCATTGGAGAACTTGGTCCAATTAGGACAGTTCATGTGCACTGCTTTGCAGGGCGAGCAGCATCGGGGTGTTTTGGCAGCAAGGGGGTGTTCCACTTCCAGGGTGCAAAGCCGACCGCTGTTGTTACACCGTTTGCACGGTGGGAATAGGGTGCAGATTATTGCTCCCTTAGAACGAGGCGCCTCAGATGGGAAGGCGCGAGGGATCTGGGTGGGGTCCCTTCCCGCATTAGAGTGTGCATGTGCCGAAGGTATGCAGATGGTAGGCGGTTTTTGACCTTCGGGTTGCGACGCGCTGCTCTTCGACGCTTTTGGGCTATGCACCTGAGTTCCCCATACCCTGGCCCGCTTTCTGCTCAAGGGTGCAGAAGGCTGGGAAGGCATGGGCATGGGCAAAGGCTCCTCCGCCTCCAATACCGTGATTGGAGGCGGGGAGGGGGTGTGCACGGCTGGAGGGGAGGGGACCGGAGTAGGAGACAGTGGAGGTGGTGGCGTGGGGAGGGTCACGCCCAGAAAGTCACTGGGCAACAAGCCAGCAGCGATGATTTCTAGGTCCAACCCGTTGCCCACCATGATGTGTCCGGGAGGGGCGGTCTCCTCTGGGGAAGCCCATTGTCCATTTGAAGAAGCGAGTTCTGTGGAGGGGCGTCAGGAATCCATAGAGTCCCCATCTGGTCAGGTTATGCACCATCGAGATACTCAAGAACCCCATTGGTTGAAAACCAAACGGCCTCACCCCATGCCAAGTGGACCAACAAATCTGGAGAGGGCTGGAGCCTGGAATGAACATTGGGTTCCCCTGTCAGGATTAGTCAAATACAAGTGATACCCAGGGGCGCTTCAAAGGGTGCAAGACCATGGCGAGGGCCTAAAACTGGGTGCTGGAAGCCGAGAAGTCGGGAGCGAAGTCGAGTCAATTCCGACGCCGGACTTGCTTCACGGGTGTCAGGATAAACCTTAGGAAACAACCGGTGATAAGCCAGTAATTAGGCCATAGTTAGATACACGTAATTTTGTGTGTTTCTGATTGTGCCCATTGCTGAAACTGTTGTTTCTATGCAACAGTACTGGTTCCTGGTAGCTGTTGGGCGAACTACAGAGAAACGGGTGGGTGTTCTAAGTAATTAGAAACGCCCATTGGCATGTCTCACCCTGAAAACCATAAGGGAAACGTGTAGCCAATAAACAAGTCAAGGAACTTCGTTTGATTTGTTTCCAACATCCACTTAAGCAATGTAAACAGGTCAAAGGAACAGGAGTTGGGCAATGTGTTGTGTTGTATTGAGAGGCTAAGGAGACAGGCCGAGTCATGAGTGTTTCGGTTGCTAGAGTTGCCAGTTTCCATCGAATGCAGATACACCGAAACAGGTGGTCGGCTATTCTGAGGATCCGGATCACAATTCTAAAGGTGTTCTAAGGTTCTTTCTCAAGAACCCTTTCTGGGAAACACCACAGAAACGGGTATCTCCCGAACCCTACAAAGGAGTATTATCAAGTTCCACACTTGTAACAGAGGGGAGAGCAGAGTTGAAGCAGAAACAGGTTGAATGAGTGCAGTGCCGATCTATCGGTGATTGACACACCCTCTGAATAATCCAGGGGTGCTACTGACGGGTTCCTGCCTCGTAATCGGCAAGGGAACGTGGTGTGCTCGCAGTGGGGAACCAATGGGAGGCGACACTCGGAAGAACAACCAACGGAAACGCGGTTAAAGAGGCAGATAAACGGACTTTTGACTCATTGGGATTGTGTTTTGGGCTTTGTAATTGTGTCTTGGTGGTTGTATAAGTATCCAAGGGTGTTTCTATGGTGAACACAGCATCATCCCCCAAACTAGTAGGCTATACGCTTGCACATTGAGTTGATCTGGGATCCTCGGCGAACGCACTCTCATAGAGTAGCATTATTAGTCGAAATCTTATTTGTTTCTGAATCATATATTATTCTGGAAACGCACTTGGGTTCTGCCTGGAAACTGTTAGGAACTCTGTGAATCTGTTTGAACTGGGACTCTGTTGAAAGAAACATTGTTGTTGTTGTTTGCGGAGCGGGTTTTAGAAAGTACCATCTAGGGAAAACTTTGGAAATGTGACTGCTGTGCGCTGCTCAGAAAGTACCTTTTAGGGAAAGCTCTGTGAACGCTCTTGGCCTATAAACTAGGGGCCCTACTCGAGTCTACGGGACTACTTTAAACTTGTTTTTTTGTCACTTGGACACACACACACACACACACTGCAAAGCTATAAATCTATCTTGCTTGGAAACTATGTTTCTACCGTGTCTAGAAACACATGCTACTCAGCTTGCTCATCGTCTCCTTGAGATATGAAACCTCTCCCTACAACCTTTACAAGGCCCTGTACTAGGGGCTGTAACTCGTCGGGATCTCTGGAAACATGCAGATATTGCCATTTGATTTGTTTGTTGGTTGTTGGAACAGTCTCTGGACTGTTTCTGTGCCGATTGTGAGTCAAGTGGGGTTATTTGTGTGTTTCTTATATAGGTTCTGAGCACATCAATCAACGGTCCAGCCATCTTGTATCCACCCCATATAAATACACCCCTGGACTATCCCTAGGTTCCTAGCAGTGTTGTTGTTGGCAGTTGCATATTGCTAGTATGTTGTAGAGTGTGTTGTTAGAAGCCTATAATCAAACTTGTGTTCGTTTAAACCTGCTGGTCGCATACTATGGCCTGGACCCAAAATCACAAAGAGTAGCACTTGGATCTTTGGAGGTAGATTGGTTGTGGTTGGTTGTTTTGGGTGTTTGTTGGCAGTACCTAACAATTAGCTATTCCTAGTCATATAAGAAGTGCACCGTTTCATCAGATCACAATAAACTGCCGGGTTAAATTTGGGCATTACTGCAAACAACAGATGATGCTCTTTCTCCCTTGAGAGCTGGATCTGACTTTTCAACATGAACAGCCTTCAATATACTACTGGCAGGTCCCACAGAACTTGCAACTAATCAGTTAATGGATGACTTCACCTGCCTAGCTCAATCAGATAGAGCATTAGACTCTTACATTTCTGAACAGGCGGGATCTGAAGGCTGCGAGTTTGACCCTTGCGGTGGGCTAATGTAATGGTTTTGCTCTGGGCTCGCCCAACATTCACTTTGTTTAATCATCTGAACTGGCATTTGATCAGTAACCGCTGAGCATCGGAGCTTGAGAAACTTAATTGGACGGGCATTAGACCTCACTGAGATTTCAGTGAGCAACCCACACCAGGAAGCTGGAGTGCTGCACCCCAATCATGAAAAAGAATTTGAACATTTCTCTGGTTGTGGATGAATCAATCGTGATTCAAATCAGCAGATCAGTTTGGGGATCATCCCATCATTATCCTCTTGCTTCACCCAATAACACACCTCGCCCTTCAAACTTGGATGCAGAGGCTGTGGCACATTTCAAATCTCATTTTCCGTCTGTTGAAGTGACTTCGACTTGAGCTGAAGCTTCAGATCCACCATCAGTGTTAAGTCTCAGCAATGTGATATTCTCCCATAAAAGAAAAGCTTCTAGTCTGACAGATACACAATGGCTGCCATCTGCAAGGGTCTAACTTTGGGGGTTAAGGATTTAGAAAGGGGAGCATATACAGGCCTGGTAAACAGTAAAGATCCTCGACAGTTGTTGGGCGGTGGCCCTGGGAGACACCTGGATTCACACATCGGGATAGCCTGGCCATAGTGGACACTCCTTGACTGCTCGAAAGTGACGACTATGTAAAGATGAGTTTATTCAGTTCATGGCATTTTTATGTGTACTATACTAACATGGGTTCTTTAGGGACTCCTCTCCCTCAACACCCAGTTCAGTCATACAATCCAGAATTTTGCCAATGGTGTGCCAACTTTCAACACTGGAATGTCAACGGTTGCAATGCTTATGAAAGTGTCCACACTGTGGGTGTGTGCTGACAAACTTGCACGCATGCGGAAGCCGGGTGAGTAACACACTCTCTAATAATTGCTACTCTGATAATTGCATGATTGTCAGCAATGGCCTCTGGGTTGGCTAAATAGCAAGTGACCCGGCGAGAACCCCAACCAGGATAAACCCAATAGATGCTAATAGCTCGTGTGTTCCCCAAGCAGTAGGACCAACTGCACAGCATCCTCTCTAGGAGGCCGTATGTCGTAGGTCGGGATGCAAGGCAGAACCTGGAACGAGTCGAAGAGGGTGTGGTATCCACTCAGGTGTACAACCTGGGGCATGAATACAACCTGTAGTACAATGTGGAGGAAGCAGGGCAGGGTGGAGACAATGCCTACGTGAAGCCAAGGTAGAAGCCTGAGATTAGACGAGGTAGAATCTACTGTACATGGAGATTCTACCGAGCTTATATAGGCTTCTAATAAATTAAAGTGATTGTGGTCAATCATGATCAGTTCCTGTACTGCAGCATTAAGGAGTGTTAATGCTGATACTCCTGGACTCCTGTGTGTCTGTTCCCATGGCGTCGGAGGACTTAGGAGACCCGATGTTCAGGTTTCCTAATCCTGAATGTCATTGTATCCAGTGGTTCAGACCCCGATCAGTTTGCAACCAGTCATGTACTTCATGTACGCTTCTATGTCAGCCGTGGTGCGTCCAGGGACTAGGATCTGTCTGTACGGGTTCCTAGTCCCTAACATCTTCTGTATTCCGGTGGCACAGACTCCCTGGGTCTGCAGCTTTCAGAATCTGTGGCCAGGTTTCAACCATGAGAAGGTCACGTGGTGGCATCATGAGAGTCCTGTGCCGCTAAGACATGTCTGTATCCCTACAGACACATCACGCGAAAAAGTAGAACAGGTGATTCATGACAGTGATTTATCCCAGGCATGCCTAATGTAATCTCTGCTAAATTCTGCACTCATTTCAAGCAGCTCAATGCCCTCATCAACCGCTTCCGTGACCCTCTGGTGTCCCCAAACCAGATAAAGTGGTAAGGCCGACAAGTGGCACAGCCTGCTACCGATGTGAGGTGGTTCAAATCGTGTATTCTAAACCAACAAAGAGAACAGCACTACAGGAGCTACTGAATGTCAACACTTTCCAAGAAATTTAGTATGTAAAATGTATACAGATCATTTGCGTGGCTTGGTTTGCTTGGCCTTCTTCGCAGGGGATGCCTTTGAGCCAAAAGAATCAAACACCGAGTCCGCCACATCATCCCGGGGTCTCTTAGCCGGCATCCTTGGCTCGCAGCGTTCGGGCATGGGAGGGACTGTTGGAACAAACGGCTCACTGTCCCCGTGATCAAGGACTCGCAGTTTGTCGGCGAGGACATGATAGATCTGAATAGTACATATCAGAGAGAGAATGAAATGGTATAAAACAAGATACTTGCCCTGCAGTTTGGTCCCTTCTCGCCCTTCTGGGGGGTGATCACGTATGTGACCAACTCAAGCATAACAAGAATCAATGTGCCCTCAGTGAGTTTGACGCGTACCTCATGAGCTGCAATCAAGTTACTGTCGGCATCGCGGTAGTCGTGTTGGCGGAGTTGAGCCTTGTCCAGGGTGAACAGAGGCCCTTCGACTTCGGGCAACATGCAGGCAGGGTATATGTTGCCAACTTTACGTTCTAAATTAAATTCCGTGAGCGTAATGTCATCAGATAATGAAAGGGTGCTTGTACCTCCAACTGGAGTATCCTCCATGTCAACATCGCCGGAATTGTTGGAAGATGACTCTACTGGTTCATACACTTTAGTGATTCTTCAGCGTTGACTGTTGGGGGTGGCAGGAGGGTTATTCGCGGGGGGAGTCTGAAATCAAAGTGAATACAGTAACGCGATAACAGATCTAACCGACCTCAAAGGTTTGCTGAAGGCGAAGGAGCATGATGATGTTGTCGGTTAGGTCGCCTTCACCATTCTCACAAAAGATAGATTCCGTGATTTCAAAGTGCTGGGTATCAGGGTCGATGAAAAAGGCAATGAAATTGAGATGTGCAAAATGGACGCACCTGAGAATGTTCAGCCTCAGATGCTTTGTCGGCGGCACGGATGCTGTCCAATACAGCAATTCCGTTGCGAAAGAGCTTCTTGAGCTCTTCTGGCACTCCGGTAGGGCAACGAAGCACCAAAATCATGTGCAAATACTTGACTCTGTTGTCAGTGAACAGCTGCCAGTACATCAGCAAGTTATACATGTAAGCAAAGCAATACTTGCGAGTTTATGTGCCGGAGGCAGGCTTTTCGGATGAGCAGCCGTCCAAGTCCCCTGTTTGATGGACCCAACCTCGGCGATGAAGTGAGCCCTGAAGGACTTCCTGCCAGATTTTTCATAATAGATGTTGCCCTTGAAGTCGGGCTTCACACGGAAGAATGTTTTGTCAATTTCGTGCTTGGACAAAATTGTGTCGCTGAGAGCTTTGAAATCTTCGAGGACCCAGTCATACATGGTCTTATTGGTGTCGTGATTGACTACGCAGTGGCAGTGGGTGATAGAGCTCATAATAGATAGCTGGGAGCGAAAGCAGTAGAGGGCTGGTTAGAAGAAGGTGGATCGCCGGATTGCCCCCAACACTGTAATTTATCTTGTTCAGCTTCGAACTCCCACATGCTCGGGAGAATTTTCAAAGTTTGTCTCCTCACCTCTTTGCGTGTCATGTGCAAAGTTTTGGCACCGTCGGGTTGGAAACAGGGCCAAGGCCCCACGGTGGTGTCAGACAATTTGGGAGACCACTGACGGCTGCGGAAGGGTAGAGCATGTCAGCAGCATTCAAAAAGCGACTTTTATCTTGCCTCTTTGCGTCTCAGGTGCAAAGTTTTGGCGCCGTCGGGTTGGAAACAGGGCTAAGGCCCCACAGTAGTGTCAGACAATATTAGGAGACTGACGGCGGCGGAAGGGTAGAGCAGATCAGCATGTCCGCGGCAGATTCAAAATCTTTGCAGAGGGCACGACATCCAGAGCAGTCGGGACACAGAGAGATGGAAACATCGACTGCATAATCAGCACACACCCCCATCACAATGTGGTAGATAAGTACGCAGCGACATTGGATCAAACTTAGATTCAGATGCGGAATTGCATGCAAGGCAAGAGCCTGTTGTATAGTTGGAAGATCAGCATGGAATACTGATATGTGCGAATGTGTAACATGATAGCCAAAAAGTATATCGCGAATAATATTCATTGATGTTAAGACAGGCATTGGGATAGCAGACAGCAAAGAGGTAGATGCAGAGGGGCATGTACACAGCAACGGGTCATCATAGATGCAGCGCCGGTGTAAACCTGGAATAACTGAGCTGACCGAAGCCACGAGAGTGGGAAAAAAAAAGAAAACTTACTCTCAGATTGCTCATGACCAGCCTGGTGGTTGATATCCATCACGCTGTCGACGGTGTCCGTAGATACACCATACGAGTGGGTTGCAACATCTTACATCGACATCAGAACAGGTATAGGATGGACATGGCATAGTGAGAATACTCAGTGAACGTCCAGGCTGGACAACACCAGAGGAAAGGGTAAAGCTCGAGTGCAGAAGGGTTTCACGGCAGAAGAATAGCCAATCACAACCCAGAACAAGGTCATAAGGGAGCTCTGGGGAGACCAAGACCTTGATGTGCATAGAGCAGACAGTGGTGCCAGATGGTATGGTCAGAACACTTGAAGCAGCAGAATGGGGTGCCGGGATTCCGTTGGCCAAGATCCAATTCAGGGCCACTGAAGATTTTTCCGAAGCTGTGTCGAGAGAGAGAGAGCAGCTTGCTGCAGAACGTCGCCAGGGTGGGCATGATGAGGGTACAGAAAAGAAAACGATGCCACAATGCCACGTCGTCGAAATGCCACGTCGAAATGGGCCATGGAGTTATGAGGGAGGGAGATGACCTCATCCAGCAGCTTTTGGCTGGGGGGAAGGGAGCTTACGCAAAAACTGCTGACGAAAATGGGAGTTTACTGCAAAAAGCTTAAATTGGGCTCCCTAAGACCTGTACCTAACGGTAGCAGGAATATCCCACCTGACACCAGCAATGACATGGACACTCGTCGTGGTGCACAGCATCGCGCATGCCACCACAGTCTGGCTGCACAGCTTGTTCATGCACACAGATGCAACAGCGAAGTGCAAGCGG